TTTTAACACTAATGTAGAATTACTAAATAAGCTGTACTAATACAGCACCTTGAGTCTGAATTGAAATTTCGCAGCGTGCAAAGCACTTACGGAAACTTGCTATTTTTGGCAGGAAGTCAGACACTTTACATACCCTGTACATATCCCTATAACTGTGTATAAGGAATAGTCTGTGTTGCTTTAGCCATAACTGCTAATAAAAAGATTGGTTGGCAAGCTTGGAAACAAGTTAGGTCTTCTAATTTATGGTCAGTGCTAAGAGGAACTGAACCAGCCGGTACCTGGTTTCTTTCAGCAGCTGAAAGATTTGTTAGTTACACAGGCAGTGTTGCACATGTGGTATTTAGCAAAGTATTGGGAAACCTCAGTCTTTTCAACATTCTGTGATTTGTAGTTCCCAACAGGGACGATGATCCAGTTGTCAGCTGGGAGAACAAGTGCTTGACATGAAGTGTACGACTTGGGTATTGACGCACTTACCAGAAATAAATGCTTTTTTGCATTTTTGGTAGTGTATTCCGTATGTCTGCCATGTGTGCTTCTCGCAGTATGACTTAGCGTCTTGTGTATTTAGAGCAATATTCACTTCTAAGTCATACGGTGCAACCAACGTGTGTAAATGTGCTTGTGAGCATCAAATCCCCAGCCTTCTAAAGCGGTAGCACCGTTAGTTTGGATTCACAGGGTATGGTGGTTTGATGTCAGGACACTACCTCTTCAGTTAAACCGAGATGTGTGCATTTTTACTGAGGATATGAATAGTCAGGCTTTTATTCTGTGCTAAATTGGATGATACAGTGTTGAGTTACAGATGGAAATAGAGCTTTCTACTACAGAACGACAAATTGCAGTCTATTCATTACCTGTATGTTGTAACATATATAAAAACACAGCCATACAGGGAAGCTGACCTAGTGTCCTGTCACTATTATTTTTTGTGCTAGTTGCAAACTTTGATCTCATATGTAGACAAATACAGCAGTCTTGTGTGTGTGTGTGTGTGAAGCAGAATAGTTTTCACTAGTTACACAAGAATTACCTGTTCAATTATGTGACTTTAAATTTAGCAGTAGGACAGCTTCCAGTCAGTTTAGAACAGAGTGAAAGAACAAGGCTTGCTCAAAACGTCACCTTCACCAGTATCCCAGCCTGGCTGTGCCAGCAGCAGAGTGCTTGGCAGGAAGCAGGGAAGTGCTTTTCCCGTTCCCTGCAGTCGGTTTAGAAACTCAAGTGCTCAGTACAGACGCTCTTGCTGCAGACATCTCTTTCCCATGAAGGATTAAAGACTCAGCCTGTGCCACAACTTCCTCAAGGTGGTATTCCTGTCTTCCACTGCATTCCCCAGAGTAAAAGTAAGTAGAAAACTGTTACAAACAAAAGGTATACTCAGCATCGATCTTATTGTTACAGGCAGATGTTTTTAAACAACTTATTCAATGTCACTATTTGCTCGGTAATAATTTTTTAAGCCAAAACGTAAAGTTCTTACTAAGCCTGGAGGCCCAGCAATAATCAAGTGCAGATGAATTTATAGCTTACGTTGGATTGTTACCTTTTGACTTCCTAGGAAGTGCATCTGCTGCTTTGTTCCATAGTAAAACTAGCGTAGTTACAGGTAGAGTCGTAAGCTATGGCTGTAGCTGCGGCACTCGCTTCTTGAGCTGAAGTTGAGCAGGTTCTGGCAAAGAGCGTGCCCTGCAGCTTGCTCCAGTTACCCTCAGCTGCTGGGCACTGGTAGGTTTTGCACAGGCACATACAAGTTGTAAGGAGATGTGTGTGTGTGATTCTGTGACATGGTGGCTCGCTCTGTACTTAGTAGGTGCTTCTGTAATTGTCAGATGTATTTCTGAAAAAGAAAGAAACAGTTTAAGTCTTACTGTGTAATTAATAGCTACTGTCCAGTTAATTGCACATGCACTGATAGGTTGTAGTTGAAACTAATGCTGGGCTACTTGTATGACATTACTGCTATAGGACTAAGCTTTACCAAAGACATTCCAATTTCACCCTTGTGCACTGCGCCACCGTACCAGTGGCTGGATCTGTATTTCCATGATCTTAATAGTCTGATACCTCTGATCTTGTCTCTGGGCTGCTCAGTAACTATTGCTTGCTTCTTCCAGTACTTGTTGCTGCTTTCTAACCGTTATCTTCCTTTCCTTTACACTGGAGTCAGACCAGGTGCTACTCATTTGAGAGGGGCAATTACTGTCATGTTAACAGAGCTCTAATGCTGAATTTTACTGGACCTGCAGTTCTGATGTTTAAGCCCTTCAGCACCTAACAGAATCGTGCATTTCTCTGGAATGATGTATTAGAAATGAGGAAACCCACAGGGAAAGAAAGTGCCATGCTAGTTTATGTGAGACAGTATCAACTGGCCACGAACAATGATGCTTTAAGAGTGCTTTCTAGAGATGGGTTTAACGGCTTGGAGAGCAGGTTTGAGTCATTTATGTATCCACTTAGGTATGGAGTGCTTAATGCTAAAGGCAATGATACACCAAAACAAAAAGCAGCTTAGATTGTAGTGGTGGCAGTGCAGAAGCGTAAAGGGAATGACTACACACAATACAAGTTTAGCAAAGCCTACGGCACAGCTTTATGTATTTAAAATAGCAATAATTTAAGGTCATTCCAAAGAAGACATTTCATACAGTCCTGTCACACCTCTGGCCTTCAGCTCCCTCTGAAATCTCAGCCTCAGAGATGAGTTTGTGGTTTTTTTTTTATTTTGGGCTTTGGGGGTGGGGATTTTGTCAGCTATTTATAAATAGTGAATTTTTCCTCTCTCAGAGATGTGCTGCCAGAACAAGAAGGAAGATTCAGCATCAGAGACAACGATGCAATGCCAGAACAAGGAGGAAGATTACCAACTACTTATTCAATTTCAAGAGATACCAGGAAGGTGTTGTTAACAGGCCTCTGGAAGAATTTAGCTACTGAAACAGAGCAAATTCTTTGACCTAACAGGTCCAGCGAACTTGAAAAAAACAAAAATAAATTCACCAGGCTGTACTGTACATGCATACTTGTACATGTACTGTACGTTAATTGTCCACCCTTAGCAGCCGGCAGCAGGGGCCGAGGGCAGAGCGGCGGCACGGGCCAGTACAGCCCCCGGCCCAGT